TCGAGCTTTCAGAATAATAAATAAACACTTCTGTTTGGAATAAAATAAATACAAATTAGGTTTGAGAATAAAATAAACTTTTAAATTATTGCAGAGTATCCATATTGTAAACAAACAAACAAAATAACGAAAGTATTTGGCATTGACGAATAAACTCCTCATCTGCCCGTGGATCATCAGTCCACTGTGCCTGTTAAACCGAGGACTGACATCGCGCACACACTGATTGTCTTTACCTCTTTACAAAGTTTTGGCACCATTATCTCTCTGATGTATGGGCGGTTGGGAATTTCATATCGCAGCTCGAGTATGCTGAGAAGACGATGCAATCCTATGTTTTCCACGACCGGCATTGGCTGGTCATCCAGAGCGATAAAATGAGTCAGAGCCTCTGTTTTAACTGCCCGTGGATTTTCTCTTGACATTTTTCATCGCTTTTCCAAAACCTGAGTTAAAGTTGGCTGTTCCGGTCCACACTGCTGACATTTTGTTTAGCCTGGCTACAGCAGCCTCCAGTTTCTCTTTTTTATCTGGAGCCGCCAGTCTCACTCGCCTAACCCTGTGCCTGTTTAGCGTGGGATGTCCCCCTAGTGGCCAATCTAAAAAACTACAACAGAAATGACAAGCCACCCTCTGATTAATGAAATAAGTTGGTATCGGTTCATGGTATCGGTTAACTTTTATGAGTACGAGTACACACATATTTTACAGTATCAGCCCCGATACCCGATACCAGTATCGGTATCGGTGCATCCCTACTCTGCATGAAGTATCTGCAGAAGTATACAGTATTGCATGCAGCAAGATTCTGAGCTCCTAGTGCTTGTTCTTGTTTGCTATTTTGAATAATGGTCAGCACAGCAGGTGCAGTGGTTAGCACTGTCGCTTCACAGCAAGAAAGGACTTGATTTGGGCCCCCATGCATGGAGCCCGCATGTTCTCCTTGTGTCTGTGTGGGTTTCCTCTGAGCAATCTGTTGTCCTCCTACAGTCCAAAGACATGCCGTATACTTTAACTGGTAATTTTAATTGGATGTAGAAGTATATAGAATAAAGCATTGTATCAATGTGTCTTGTTGTCACATTGATACAGTTCAGGCAGTTTTCTTCATACCTCAGAACTGTGGACAAGTTGTACTAGTATTTATTTCATTATCACCAATAATATGAGTAGAATTGGGGATTTGATTATTTAATTATTCGTTTTTTGTAACTATATTTTTCAGACAGCTGTTAAATCTTCTTAGAGTCACACTAGATCAATTTTGGGGGTTGACTTGATCCCAAAGACCAATCGTTTTTTGGTTGTCTATTTAAGTGAGGCACAACTGATAGGTATCATATGACTTGAGTGCAAAATGGCTTATCTCTTAGCTGACTCTCCTCTACTGCCTCTGCAGCACACACCTCACATTCAAAGGTTGATTTTTGAAGCTCTTACTGTCTCTTCTTTCACACACCTTTCAGAGGGAAGGAGGGTCACTTTTGAAAGTAAGTCATCCAAATTCATGGTTTCTGCAGCTTGGTCTCTTATCTCTCCTCTACGTTGCTACATCCACATCTTTGACAGGCCAGATTTTAAAAGCTCTGCACTTTTATAGTATAAAATGTCAGATCCAAACAGGTTTGTCAGATGAGGCTGAAGAACCTTCAGTGCAGAGCTTTAGAAATCTGAAGCATTTTATCTTGGTTGCTGAAGCGTGTGATTTGCAGAACCCTTCTACTTTATTTAACTCACTTTATTTCCACCTCAAATTCACATCATATACACAAATGTACCATATTAAAAATTCTGCAATGCAAAAACCGCTGTATGCACTTTAAACCCACACTCTGATCTAAAGGTATTATCTAGCCATTTTGTTAGTCAAGGTTACAACAAGAAAAGAAAAGTCTCATATCTACGTTTTATGTCATAGTGACCTGGTAGTCAAAAACAGAAACAACAGAAGCAAGAAAGGAAAGAAAGAAAAAGATGTACAGCTGTCAGTTACAATAGCAAATCTGATGGACACAAAGAGCTTTGAGGCCTTGGGGAACAGACACAGGATCCCTGAGAGCGTCCTGTGTCAGATCCTTTGGGTTCTCTCTGGGATGCCGGATGAGATAACTGTGAATCTGACTTGTTCAGCACCTTTGGCTCATTGTTGTGTTCCTCAAGCTGTTCCTAAACAACTTTGCAGTCTGGGGGAAGGCCATTGCTGTCAGTGGGTGCCATTGCCAATGGGCAGGTGTATTTAGTTTGTAACAGCGCTTACCTTGGAGGTTTAACATCCGCATGAATGCCAGCTGCACAGCAGTTTGAACACTAATGTATGTGTTTCATGCAAGAGGACTAAAGAAGATGACCAAGTTATTATGATTTATATTAAGTTGCTAGCTCTAATCATAAATAAGTGCAAAATGTACAGATTTTCAAAGTGCTTTTAAGAACTCGTTAATATAGATCAAAATCAAAAAGTGAAGTGATGCAGTTAAAACAAAAAGAACATAAATGCTGAACAGTGTGAACGGCATTACAAGTAAAATAAATAAACACGGAAATAGATAAGTCCATAAAGAAGTGATAAGAAGATAAAACACTTTGGTCAGTTTTCTGTAAATGTACGTTTGTAATGTAATCTAGATGTAAATGAAAGGTGAGTTTGCGAACGTCAGCTCCTTTGTTAGAGAACAGTTAAGGGCTCTGATCAGAGGAACAACCCAGCAGCTCGGTTCCTTGGGTCTGACTGTAAATTTATAACACAGGTAAAAGCGTGGCACAAGTTTAAAATCAGCTGAAACAGCTGGATAAAATAGCTAGTATGCAGTAGCAAAACTGAGAGTGATATAGTGTTGTCTCTTTGGTTTTGTTAAAAGTCTGGCAGCTGAGTTTAGGACAGACTGGAGGCGGGGGGAAAAGACCAAGGCTTTACATTTTAGCTTAAGTCCAATTAGACTGTAATTTGCCTCCATTCCCCTGCTATTACAATAAAGGTCTAAACAACAACAGCACTATGTGATGCTAGGGTTTCGGAGCTTATACGCATCTATTAGTGAGATATGGCTCTATTGATTATTCCATTCTACTATGATTTACTCACTGATTTGGTCTCTTTCATACTTTTCTCATGCAACATCACACTAAGGTAGTTTTGTATGAGAAAAATACAAACGGGGCCATATTCATCAGTAACTTAACAACAATATTCAATAGATACATGAAATAAAGTGCTCGCGTTTTTCTTTCTTTCCATGTTGGTTGTACACACAAGATTTGTAAATTTCATACTGATTGACATTATTATATCAATAAGCGTGATCGTTTTGTTGCCATAATAATGACGTGAAATTTTTCAACCATCTTTAATGCAGAATGCAGTTCGCTGATGCTGACTGGATAATGCCTTTAAAATGCTGCAGTGTGTGGGCACAAGCAGAGGGACTGACAAAATGAAGAATCTGTTTCAAGCATTTCCGTCTTCAGAGTACTTGCATTAATGCATTTTGCCAAACATGTACCACTCCTTTTAGAAAGCTTTTGTTTTTTTTTGTTGAACTGATCTCATAGATGGTATGGCATGATGCACTGAGGTTTTAAAGCGATGGATGTACCTGACAGAGTAAGACATGCTGGCGCTGCCTGCCCTGACTGTGTTCCCTGCTGACTGTATTCAGAGTATAGCCGTCGCTTGAAGGACAGTCAGAGAGACAGAGAGAGGGAGAGAGAGAGGGTGATGCACCACAACACGCCTCACCGCTTCACAGTGGGACTCAACATGAGAGCTGCCAAGTGTACCGTGTGCCTGGATACTGTGCACTTTGGTCGTCAGGCAGCTACCTGTCTTGGTAAGTTACAGTTGTGCTCACAAGGACTATCAACTAGACAGTGATGTATACCTTCACATAAACCATATTTTAGCTTCTTGCTATATTACATTTTTCCACACATTTTCTGAAAGCAAGCCTCATACTGTCAGAACTCTACACACAAATCAAAAAACACACACACAATGTGCAGAACTCTTCAATTCTCCTGCAAAATGAAACTTTACATTCAAAACAATGTAAATGGCGTTTTGTTTTCAAATGACACACAAACCATCACATGAATAGACATTTATAAGAACCAGTTAAACACTGATGTGCTTACAGTTTTTTCTGAATGCTTAAACCCTAACTGTGATTCCTGTAGCACAATCTCTAAAACTATTCAGACTTATAGCAAAACCACTCACTGAGTTTGCA